CACTGACACACGCGCGCCGCAAGGACAAGGGGAAAAAACTCCCGCCTACTGGCCCCGATTATGACTGTTATTATTGTTGGCACTCGGGGAGGGAGATTGCTGTAATTTTTGCCCTCACCATCTCCTCCCCTTTTCTTTGATTCTACCCTCCTCCTCACCCCCCCCCCAATCCTCTCTTCCCCATCACTGCCTTTTTCTCCCTCCCATCTCCTATTTCTTCCCGTACACCTATTTCCCTTCCTTCTCGTTTTCCTCCTTTCCCCCGTCTCTCCTTTTTCTTTTCCTCACCCCCCCCATTCTCCTTCTCTCTCTACTTCACCTCCTTCCTTCTTTCTCATTCCCATCTCCCTACTTTCACCCATCCTTTCTCCCCATCTTGCCCCTCTCCCCCTTCCCACTCCCCCACCCCCTCCCAACCGTCCTGTATTTTATACACAAGCCTCATAGCATCGACTCTTTGTGAGCAAAAGTAAAATATTGGTGACCGATGTCTCAAAAAACTATGAGCGAAAGTACCTTATTAGTGATTGATGTATATAATAAACTATGAGCAAAAGTAACTATTTACTGATTGATGTCTCAAACAACTATGAGTAAAAGTAACTCATTGGTGATTGATGCATTAAAAAACTATGATCAAAAGTAACCCATTGCTGATTGATGTCTCAAAAAACTGTGAGCAAAAGTAACTCATTATTGATTGATATAAAATAAAAACTATGAGCAAAAGTAACACATTACTGACTGATGTCTCAAAATCCTATGAGCAAAAGTAGTTAATTAGTGATTGATATATAAAAAACTCATTACTGATTGATGTCTCAAAAAACTATGAACAAAAGTAACGCGTTACTGATTGATGTCTGAAAAAAACTGTGAGCAAAAGTAACTCAATAGTGATTGATACTTTGAGCAAAAGTAACGCATTACTGATTGATGTTTCAAAAAATTATGAGCAACGCTAAGGCGGCAGCAGTAAGCAAGAAGAAGAAGAGGATGGAGAAAAAGACGAGGTCTAGGTGAAGTGTGTCCCGGAGCAACGCTTGCACCTTGGGGAAGCATCCCACGCGCATCCAGTTGTTGGCGGAGCTGGCGAGGCCGTCCAGGTAACATCCGGATTCTTCTGGCTCCTTGCAGCACACCACGGGTGTCTTGTACGTCCGGCCGTGGGGGTCATAGGGCGGCCAGTAATCAAGCTGGGAGAAGTCCCTGTAGTCGTCCAGGCCGCAGCACTTGTAGAAGGCCATGACGGAGTTGAAGGTGAGGCCGTCCATAGTCAAATCGCCGATCCCGCTATACGTCTTGAGACGGGCTTTGAGCTTCAGCTTCAGCCGGGCCATGATGTTGTCCTGATTGGCGTAGGCGGCGACGAGCGCGAGGCAGCAGGCGCCCACCAGGACCAGAGAGGCGATATAGAGAACTTGACGCTTCAGGCACGACGTCATGAGGCAGACCAGCGACACGAGCAACAGGAGGCAGCCCGCCGTCAGGGAGGCAGTCCCCGCGGATCCCAGCAAGCCCCGGAGGTCCGGTCGGCCCGTGGGGCCCAGCAGTTCCCGTACGTTGGGCGGGCCGGCTGGACCCAGGTTGGCTACGTGGACGTTTTTCTGGTGCAAGGCCCGGGCCATGGCCCCACTGAGGTCGGAGAAATGCGCGTTCGTGTCCGCGCTCAGGAGGATACCCAGAACCACGAGGGTCATGCCCACTATGCCGGTCAAAGAAGTGGTCGCCACCAGGAGCCAGAACAGCACGCACTTCAGAGCACACTCGATCATGTCGCCCGAGCTGACCGCTACACGACCACAACACACGACCTCAACACACGACCACAACACTCGAGAGTTGACCGCTTGACGCCCAAACACAAGACCACAACACACGGTCGTGATGTGTAGAAATCTCCACTATTTGGGGTCGTGGTGTGTAGTTGGGTCGTGGTGTGTAGAAATCTCCACTATCTGAGGCCGTAGTGTGTAGAAATCTCCACTATCTGGGGCCGTGGTGTGTAGAAATCTCCACTATCTGGGGCCGTGGTGTGTAGAAATCTCCACTATCTGGGGCCGTGGTGTGTAGAAATCTC